TACACGGTATTTTGTTTAAAATGTAACGAAGTAAAAGTAAAAATCGTCATAAAATTAAGTATTGGAGTAAAGTACTGATACCAGAAAAATGTACTTAAATGTTAGGGTAGTAATTCACTTCAAGAAACACTTTTGTATATTCCAGTGAATGCTCTTAACATCCCGATAAGCAGGTAATATATTAAAATGCTTGACAATAATCCATAAAAAAACGTCCATCTTGGAAAGCCTCATGTTGTAGTACGTAAAAAGCACGACAATCATTAAGACGGCCCGCTAAGTAACTGCGAGGCCTACCTGCCTGTCAGCCTTCCATCTGTGCACAAGCTTATCTCGTGCCCTCATTGGTCATGTTCGTGTGTGTTGGAGGAGGGGCTCTGTAAGGAAGTCTGAAGGAAGAGGCAGATTTTTTCCGGTTGTGTATTTTGAACTTCTAGCGCACTCGAGCTGGTTTCTCCAAAATTACCTACCCCACCTTTAAGTACAGTAACAAAGTATTTGTACTCCACTACTTCCCGCCTCTGCGTTTTACTATTTTTGATGCAAATGGTGATATTTTTTTCCGAATTGTATAGAAAGCAGGACTGGGCGGAAGCCGTTCACTGGTATGAAAATGCCTTGAACATGACGGACTATGACGAGGGCGGAGAGTTCGATGGGATTCAGGACGAGCCTCGTTACCTGCTGCTGGCCAGAGTGGCAGAGATGTACCAGGAGGGAGGGTGCAGCCTCACCCCAGACCCCCAGAGAGCAGGTTTGAATCCATGCTGGCTTACCCACCTCCTCCAATGTAGATGATACTCAAAAGATAGATTTCATGTGCCTTGAGAACAGTTTGCTGCTAATGGGCAAATTTGTTAAATAGATGAGGCTTTTTATTATCATGCAATTGTTGGTCATGGGATTCATTGACAGTGAGAAAAGTCAAGACTATCACAAGCCTTGTCCTAACTGCTGAGAGTTTCACATTAAAAGCCATTAATTCTGCCAATGTTGCAGATGTTTGCCTCCAACTTGGGTCGTCGCGATATACCGTTATTGATTATATCCTTGATATTTAAAAAGAATGAAATATTGATATCATATAAATAATCCAGCTCCTCTTAAATCATTTCTGCTGGTATGGTTACAGACTCTCTCTCCACACCTCTACACTATGAAAAAAAGAAACAAAGCGCACAATACATTTGAATGATATCATTTTAATGTTTTTGTTTTTTTAAAGATACCATTATGATATCGGCATTGTGAGTTCTCTTGGCACTGATAATCATGAAGTGAAATCTGATGATGTGACCTCCTCCTAACCTCTCCACCCATCTCTCCCTGCAGGTGATCTGTTCACAGAAGCCGCAGAGGCTGCCATGGAGGCCATGAAGGGTCGATTGGCTAACCAGTATTACATGAAAGCTGAAGAAGCATGGGCGTTAATGGAGGAATAATTCTGGACACACATTCTTTAACAGAAAAGGCTACGGGAGATAATGTTTTCAAATTCAGAAGGATATTACCTGATTGGCTACAGTTTACATGTTTTTTATTACAATATTTTTTGAAATATTTGTTCGCGTGCGCATGTGTTCAGCCTTTGAGGATTTCAGGTTCGGGTTCCTGAATCCTGTGTTCTTCAATTTCCCATCTCCCATTGCCTAAATGTATGTGGTTGTATGAAAGAGAAGGTCTGGAGTGTGAAATAAAGAAAATGGTTTACTTATTTTGACCCAAATGTTATGCAAGAATGCATGTAAATAATTAAAAAAAAGATTGGAGTTTCAAACTGATGAATAAAGTTCACTTTTTATGGATAAACTAAACACTTTTCATTATTCTTTCCTGTTCTTTCTCTCCGGTGGACGAGAGCTTTGGACCTCACTTTACAATAAAAACAAAAAGTCATAAGCATTTGTCAATAAGTTTAAAAACACATTCCTTATAAAAAATAAGCTACTCTGCATAACAGTAATCTGAAATACAAAATGTATTTATGTAAAAAACACTTGACACCACTCATCCAATTACAAATAGAGAATCTACTGTACGTTAACGCTGTTTAAGTAGATACGGTATTAAGAGTTTAAGAGACATCCTTTGTAGAACATGTACATGCTTTCATGTTAACAAACAGCATGATCTTTCAATCACTGCCCATCATGTTTTGACACATAGTATTCCATTAAAAATGTGAAAAATATAAAAGTTCATTGCTATACTTTTTGGGCTTATTGTTGCACATGGGTAGTAAATTCTTAACTCAAGTTGTGTAAATCTTAAAGTGAAGATTTTAACTACTGTTAATATTATTTCAAATTGACCTCGTAAAGTATATATTTTAACTCCTAATAGTGTGCTTCTAAACTCTTTAGGAGTTGTTTATTGTATTCTAATGGTGTTAATATTTTACACTCCAATACATATTCTAACACTGTAAAAAACACAAGAACATGCCATTAAAGTTTAGATGTGAAAAATAATGCATTTATACTATTAATGCATTTATGGGTTTTTCTTTAGCGCCACTAGAGGGAGACAGAGTAAAGGCCTGGGCTCGAACCTGGATCTTGGAACTCTTCTGCCAGCTATCTAACCCTACTCTACTTCTATCATTTAGTTACTTATATATTTGTTTATGTGTTTTTATTTATTTTTTAAAATACATATCTGTCTTCAACACTCACGACTGGCAGATCCCCCTGAACAATGGAGGGATGAGGAATGAGAGGTTAATGAGAGGCTCGATGCTTGGCATGAGCCAATCAAATCCCGTTTATGCAAATCCCGCCAGTGCAAGCGCTAGCCAATCAAACCGCGTGCAAGTTGGGAGAGCCAGACCGCAGTTCATTTCCTCATATTCCAAACGAGATATTACGGTAGCAAATCACCCGGTTCTTTACGACCAGAACTATTTACGGGGATACAAACCGGAGGAACGAGGCATGGAGGGAGGTTGCAGAGACAGTGGGTGAAACAGGTAGGTTTTTCGCCTGTTTGGAGAGTTTATATCCAGTTTACTTCGTTTTAACATTGCTATTGCTTTGTATGTCGGGGGCGGGAGATTCATGTGATTGGTTGTTGGTCGCGTTGCTCGCAAAAAATCGCCAAGCTTCAGACACGCCCAGCTTCAAGATTTTTTGATGCCTGTAGTGTAGACGGGCCGTTACACTAAAATACTCTTAACCCTAACCCTAAAATACTTTTATCCCTAACCCTAAAATACTTTGACCATAATCCTAAAATACTCTTAACCCTTAAACTAAATACTCTTAAAGGTGGTAAGTTTGAGAAACCGGCTCGAGATACACTTTTTGTTATATTCCAAGGAATGCTCTTAACATCCGATAGC